ATATTGCAGCCAGATTTTATATACCATATAGATACAAATATCCATATAATATGTATTCTGCTAAAACTGAATGCAAAGTAAAACTCTAAATACTTAAACTTTTCTGCTGCTTTATATTAACAATTCATAGATACAATCCTTTTTGGGGATCCTCAAGTATTTTACTTTAATTCTCTGTGAATTTAAAAAATAGGTTAAAGGAGATCCTTCATGGATCACCTGAGCCTGAGTGGCTCAGTCATTTAAGTTTCTGACCTTTGACTTTAGCTCAGATCATGATCTCATGGCCGGTTGGGCTCTGCACTGATAGCATGGAGCCTGCCTGGGATTCTCTCTCCCTCTTTCTCTGCTCCACTCGTTTTCTCTCTCCCTCTCCGCTCTCTCTTTCAAAATAAATTTATAAAATTTTTAAAAAGTAGATCCTTGAGGTAAACATTTTGAAACAGCAGATGTCCTCCCCTTTAGTTAAAAATGCCTTCACAATCATTTGATCCTCAAAAGGGGAGATAAAAGTAAATCAACGAATTGCTTATTTTAAACTACTGACAGGGGAGGGACTAGGTGGCTCTGCTGGTTGAGCCTATGACTCTTGATTTCGGCTCAGGGCATGATTTCTGGGTTATGGGATCAAACCTTGTGTTGGGATTTATCCTCAGCAAGGAGCCTACTTAACATTCTTTCTCTCTTTCTATCTGCCCAACTCTCTCTCTCTCTAAAATAAAAATAAATAAGTTACTGACATGAAAGAGCTAGCATTGAAGTCAATGTATAAAATGCTTTCATCCACTTGCCTCAAAATATAAATAACCCACGAAGGGAAAAATGGTAGAAGTATTACCAGTTTAAGAAGAGATGTGGAAATATGAATTAACCAATGAAACAGAATCACAATTACTGTTTAGTCTGTTAACTTTAGTACTAGATTCTTCTCAGCAACAATTCTAGTGATCAACCCTCAACATTATTACTTATTATTATCTATTATGGGCTTAGCTCTGAAATGAATGTTAGAGAAGCCATAAAGATGAATAAAGTCCCTACACTAAAGGAAACTACAATATACTACGTTATCTAGGACCACGCACCCACAGCTATAATACATGCTAGAACGTACTACTGTAAAAAACACAGAGCTCTACTGCTAAGCAGGAAGAACTGAGAGATCAGGAAAGCTTCCCAGAGGTACACATAGACAGTAAAGAAGGGACAGTGGTAACAAAAGCATGTAGGTAGAATGGTACACGAGAGGTTCTGGGAATAGTTGGTCAAGTCAGAAGACTGTAGAATGCATGAGAAGAAGGGTGGGAGGAAAGAGTAGCAAGGGTGATTTGGCCAGGCTTAGGAATATGTACTTTACTCCAGGAGAGAAGGGGGGGTTCTGGCATCCCAACAGTTCAGAGGGAGAGAAAGCTTGGCCATCAACCCCCTCATTACAGAACCAAGGACAATGAGCCTTGCGAAAGCGGCTTGAAGAGAAACATAAAATTTACAGTGGGGGTCAAGAACTAAATACTTGCCCCCTACAAATGAGAGGATCAGATATATAGTTTAGGAAAATTATCTCAGCAGCAATGTGCAGCACAGACTAGAAAGAAAAGACATTACGAGCAGTATAGTTTTAGAAGTGAAAAGAAATCGGATGCATTGTAATTCAGAATTCTTCTCTTACTAAGATATTATAGGAATGTGTTTTTTGGCTACAGAAAATTTCCTATCTTGGCTATACAGATTTCACTGAATGAGAGAAAAAGGGTTTTTGTGCCAACCACAACAGTAACATACACTGCCCCTTGAGCCAGGTCAACTCTTCATAGGGAACGATGCATCATTAACATGAGTGTCAGAACCAGTTTCAACAACTGTGAGTGGGAAAAGCAATTTTTAAAAGAAAGTAAACCTCACTGGAACCTGTATTTAAATGTTATTTTTAAAATGACAACTAAGAGTCTATGATTTTCCTAAAGAAGTGCACATTTCATTGTGTTGCCTACGTAATGGTGTACGCTTACGCTCAATGCTGTGGAAAAACAGCTGAAATAGGCAACCATAAAATAGAAGAGGCTGAATTTCATTTGTGGAAAGCAGTCTCATCACTTTAGAGTCATATTTTATAATAATCACTAGCAAGACAACCAAAGAAATGCCATGCTGAATCCTTATGAGCATTATACCTAAAAATAAAAGAGCATAACATAATACCTGTCTTTGAGCCCTATTTTTAATACACTACCTGGTTCAATCATCCAAGAAATTATCCTAACATTTTCTGTATTTATATTTTCTGATGGTACTTGCATTGTGCTCTTACAGTGCTGTCATGCCAATTATCTCAATTTTTGGTGGGTTTAAACAGTTTATCCATGTCTCACTATTGAGCTTAATGACACAATTTAAGATTATTACACTTTGAGCATTACTATGAATTGGAAGAAAGTTAACCTGTCTGTAACACTGGGTTACATTTAGAGTAATTTCAATAAGGACTTTTACAAAAAAAAAATCACTTCTTTCCTTTCTCAAGTAGCTCATTGTCGTAACTAGACTTAACTTTTATGAGGACACAAGCTGTGATCCTGTGTCCTTTTAAGTGTCTATACCATGTGGGTGCTCAAAAGGCTTGCTCAAGTAATAAAACCAACAGTGATGGCAGGTCAACTCTGGATGGAGCCGTGTGGTGCAAAGATCACCAGGGCTGATCTAAAGTATCAGGAAGCCTAGACAAGCTACCCGGCACACTGGCCTTTCTCTGCTAGCTCCTTACATGTTGATATTCTCCAGGCTTCAGCCACAGAGCCTCCCTTCACACCCTACACTGCTAACACAGCCATTTAACTCCTACTTCATGCGGCGATGACACTCTGGCTTCTCTCCTAAGCTACAAATTTTATCTCTTACTGTCCATGAGATATTTCCATTTGTATATCTGACTACACCTCAACATAAACACCAAACTGAAATTATCATCATCCCCCTAAAACCTGCTGCTTCTCAGGTGTTAGTAAAGAGACCCACCCAACTGCCTAACAGTGAAACCCAAGTATACCTCACTTCTTGTCTTACCTACTGATTCCTAGTCATTCTACCAGCAAAAATGTGTCTCCCATCTACGGGCTTCTCTCCCTTCCAAGACCATATCTGAGGCATCATAATAACTTACCAGAAATTACTCCTAACTGGTGACTTTAACTCCAAACTAGCATCCTTCCAATCCACTGTGGAGCCAGAATGATGTCCCCAAAACATGAATCTATTTAAAAATGCTTAAATGGCTTCCTATGATCCTTGGGAAAATATCCAAACTATCTGTCATGGCTTCCAAGGTCCTTTAAGAGCTGGAAACCACCTTGCAAATTGCACTACACGGCAAGATGAATAAGTGCATGGGGACTAGAAGAGCCAGACTGTCCTGTCACTTACAAGCTACCCCTGAACAAGCAAGTCACTTAATTTCTTTGTCGCTCAGTATCTTCATCTATAAAATGAAAATATTAGTACTTATCTCACACTGTGGAGGTGAATGTTAACTGAGATCAAACACCATGGCTTGACACAGTGTGAGACACATCGGATACATAGTAAATATTAGCTACTGTTATTAATTCTCCAGTTAATTTCTTACTTCTCTCCCTGCTTGTATTAGGAGTTCCATCTATTGGGAACAGCTTTTATTTCCTCTTCATTTACACATCCCTGTGGCTGCAACTTCCCCGCCCACCAATCCAACCCGCGCCCCCCTGCAACCCTTCAGGACTTATCCTAAAGGCCACATTCTCTGGAAAGCCCTTCTGTCTTCCCTTAGATGTGCTCCTGAAGGCTCTGTATTTTTCCTGCCATGCATTTGTCTGACTTTCTGGTACTTCCTCTTCATTGCTAAATTCTAAGTTCTGTGTGAGGAGCAACTCACTCTCTTGCTCACTACTATATTCCCAATGCCTAGCATATTGGCTAGCACGCCCTTAAAAGACATGGTTCTGTGGATGAAAGAACGTATCTTTCCTCTCCCACAATCCTCCCTGCTCCCAAAACTGCAGTAGCTACAAAAGTGCAATAGTCCTCTAACAGCTATCTGTAAAATACAGTTCAGGAAAGGCTGCCACAGAATAGACACGGTCAGATAATACTGGGAAGGGCAGGTTAAAACAAAGTTAGGGCTTCTGAACCACAGCACTTCTCAGAGCCTTTCATTCAATGAAGTGCACTGTGAACCTCCAAGGTGTGTGTGTTTGAGAGGCTAGGGTGGGGGTATAATTCTCAAAATATCTCCTACAACCAGTGTTCTTCCGAACACACGGTCGCAGAGCTGATTTAAGGAGATGCCCTCCCGGACTAGGACTTCCAACTAAGCGGGTCGTTGTGGACAGGAAATCTTTGAAGCGCTCATTTCGTAGGGTGCATTGTTTTTAGGTAGGTACTCAGTGGATACAGAATCTGCGCGCTGTAAGAAACCACAGACATGAAGAAACAAATCTCCTTCTTTTTCGAATGCACAAAATGAGGCCCAGAGTTGGGAGTAAAGCGACTGGTCCACGGCCACAGAGAGAACTCCATACAGTAGGAACGGAGAGGAGCACCCGGGGCGCCAGTTTCGTCCCCAGGACTTCCACTACCAACAGTGCCTCTGGATCCTGGGGTGGGTCTAGCGTCTGTACCTCAATTCTGTTTTCGAGCCATCCCAGAGTTAGGTCGGTTTTTCTCGGCTACTCCCTAGGCCTACAGTTACTGCCCCTCCTCCCCCACTTCCCCCCACCGAACACTTTCCCTGTAATCCTTCCAGCACAGGTGGAGCTTAGCTGAGGCGGGGGAGCTAGCTTCTGTCTTCCTCCTTTCCTTCAGAGATTATTTCTGGAGTGTAAACTTTTTCATGTAGAAGAAACGAACCTGTTAATTTTAACGCCGCCGCCTAATCACCATGGGCGCTACTCCCTACCCCAGCGCACCCCAACCTACCCTACCCACTCCCTTCCTCGCCTAGACCCAGGGGCCGTGCCGTCGGTCTTCACCTGGGACTGCCATGGAGCTGGTAAGAGGGGTCGCAGGAGCCGTAGGCTTTCGAGAGTACGCTCGCCTCCAGCCTGCCGCGAGGACCACAAACGGCGAGGTTGGCCTCTACCTCCTACCAGCGCCGCCGGACTTCCCTGCCAGCCGGGGAAGGCCTCTGGCGGTAGCGGAACCAAGTAACATTGACGCCGTTTCCAGGGGAGTCATATTACAGAACACACATGGTCCGAACCATTGCTGCCAGCCCGGGGGTGGGGGTGAATGAAACCTGCAGACGTATGTACTGAACTAAACAACACCAACATTTATATATAGTTTACTAAAAATTGTAAAACAAACTAAGTTAATCTGTAGGTGCTTAATAATCTTTTTTTCGTTTCCTGGAGACCATTGGAACCCCCCTTCTCAGGATTAGCGGTGCTCAGTCCCAGGAGCAACATGGCGGCCTCCGTGAGGGACTAGTTTTGGGAAAAGGTAGTGCTTGGTGCCGCTCACTTGGGGACCTTGACAAACTGGAGCTTTCCGCGACCACCCGATTGAAGGAGACGTGTACTGATAGGTGGACTGCTTTAGTGATCGGCCCTCCGTTCTCATTCCCAAGAAGGAGCGGAGCCCTGAGCACTGAGCAGGATGAGCAACATCTACATCCAGGAGCCTCCCACCAACGGGAAGGTGAGAGTCCCAACCAGGGTACCTGGGCTCCTCAAAGTGGTACCTCACCCATTAAGGGAGTTCTGGGGCGTTATGATTAGAAAAAAAAAATCACAAAATGTCTTGTCTTTTACTCCTGCCTCTGGACAGGATGGCCTCAAAAACCATCTCTTGACACCTCTCAGCAAATACTTTGAGAAAGTCCTCAAATGGAGATTTCTCCAGTGCCTGGCCCCATTTCTTGTTTCAGCCTAACACATGTAAGCGTTTTTTAGGGCCTTAGGTTGAAACCTAATTATATTTAAAATTGTGACTTTTTCCACCCCTTAACTTGTAAATCGCTGTTTCGCCATTCATTCTACAATCATTTATTGAACGCCTGCTATTCACCAGGCAGTGTACTAAGTGCTGGAGACACAAAGATGGATGGATAAGGCCCAGTTGTTGCCCTAGAAGAGCTTATGGTTTTGTTTGGGAGGCAGGCAGGTAAAGAAAAACCAGTCCATGCTTATCGAGGGAGGAGTCTAGGGGCGCCTGGGTGGTGGCTCAGTCGGTTAAGCGTTCGACTTACGCTCAGGTGGTTCCTAGGTTCGAGCCCCCGTTGGGCTCTGCGCTGGGGGCTTGACACATGGCAGGAGGAGTTCAAATATATACTGATTGAATGAATGAATTGATGAATTAATACTGTATTTCTCTTAAGTTAAAGTATTAAGTATCAGTGAGTTTGAGGTTATATGCTGCTGGTCAAGGGAAGATTTAGTTACTTTACTCTGGAGGAAGATTTGACATGGTCAAAAAGAGGAAAAGCTTTAACAAAGATACATGCTTGAACAGGAGATCTTTTATTCAACAAACATTTATTGAGCAACTAGCTCCAACACCAACCTCTATGCTAAGGTTTTAGGGATACAAAGGAAAGAAAAACCAGCATTGTTCCTACTATCAAGAGGTCAGTTGAGTGAAATATTCATTCATCAAATAATCATGCAAATAAGTACATGCAAACTGTGATAAATACTGTCTTTCTGTGAGCACATGGATGGCTCAGTTAATTGTCTGACTCTTGGTTTTTGCTCAGGTCATGATCTCACAGTTGTGAGATTGAGCCCCATGTCAGTCTTTGTACTCAGCGTGCTGCTGCCATGGGATTCTCTCTCACTCTCTCTCTCAAGATAAATAAACTAAAAAAAAAAAAAATATTGTCCTTCTGAAACAGAATTGGGCTTACAGAGAACATCAGGGATAGCCAAAGTTTCCTTCAAACACAGTTGGGGATTTTTTTTTTTCAACAGGCCAGATGAGGACATTAAAGCTTCAAAAGTCTGTACCATAGAGAGCACATGGCAAGAATTTGGGCCTGGAAAGAATTTAAACAGATATAATATATTTGCTTAGTGAATGTTTATTTAGTGCCTGTGCTATCAAATGCTGCATTAGTTACTAAAAGGATGAAGAGATATTCAGAATAAATGGGACAAAATTCTTCCCTTCCAAGAGAATAGTATCAAGTTGGGAAGAAACTAACTTATCATATCAGTGGTTGTCTACAAGTTGTGCTGTGGTTTGCGGTACCTCTGACCTCTGAAGATGATGCACAGAAATGTGCCCCTTTATAGAACTGTCCTTCTCCTCTCAAGATGAAATTTCTGTGTATTAGGATCACTCAATTTAAATTGCATATTAATATACATTCTCTTTTTTTTTGAGAGAGAGAGAACTCATGAGTGAGGAGGGGAGGAACAGAGAGAGGGACAGAGAGAATCCTAAGAAGGCCCCATGCCCAGCACAGAGCCTGACATGGAACTTGATCCTGTGTCCCTGGGATCATGACCTGAGCCAAAATGAAGTCAGACACTTAACCAACTGAGCCACCTAGGTGCCCCAGTAAAATGTTTCTTAAGAATAAACATTTATTGTGGCTCCATGATCTCATGGCTCATGAGTTTGAACTCTGTGTTGGGCTCTGTCTTGTGACAGCTCAGAGCCTAGAGCCTGCTTCTGATTCTGTGTCTCCCTCTCTCTCTGCTTTTCTCCCAATCATGCTCTGTCTCTCTCAAAAAAATAAGATAAAATAAAATAAAGTAAACATTAAAAGTTTTTTTTTTTAAAAGAAACACTTTGGGGCACCTGGGTGGCTCAGTCATTTAAGCGTCCGACTTTGGTTCAGGTCATGATCTCACGGTTTGTGGGTTCAAGTCCCACACTGGGCTCTGTGCTGACAGCTAGCTCAGAGCCTGGAGCCTGTTTCAGATTCTGTGTCTCCCTCTCTTTCTGGCTCTCCCCTGCTCATGCTCTCTCTCTCTCTCTCTCTCTCTCTCTCTCAGAAATAAATAAAAACATTAAAAAAAATAAAAAAAGAAACATTTTATTATCAAAGTATTGCCTTATTTTGGATCTTTAAGACAGGAGCCACCAATACCAGACAAAGTAGTGATGGCCAAAAGAAATATATGGAGGAAGGAGCCATGTGCCTTCTTTTTAAATTCAGTAGCTTAGCAGTGGAAAGATTAACAAACTCTGGTAAGGAAGGTATGCCTTCTTTTTACTAGGTATAAGTTGACTGGCCAAAAAAAGTGTAGAAGAAGAATAATTACAACCATAATAGCTACCATTTTTTGAACATTTACTATTTGTCAGGTAATGTTCTAAGTGGTCTGTGTTTAATGAACCATTTTGTCCTCACAACAAACCTATGGGGATATTATTGTCCCTATTTTTAGATTAGAAAGTTGAGTCAAAAGTATGTTAGATATCATGTCCAAAGTAAAAAACTTTCTTACCCTTTGTAAGTACAAGGCTCAGTCAGTGTTGGAATTGGAGCAGCTGATTCCAGAACCTGTAAAGGGAGAGATGGTATGCATTAGTTTATTCTTTAGACTAGTGGTTTCTAAACAAGTGAGTGCACAATTCAGGGACTTTGCATCCATGAGATGTAAAGAGAAAAGCTAAATGCTTCTACTTGCATTTATCTTTTCCTTAGTTCGTTTAAAAGTAATGTTTTAGGGGCACCTGGGTGGCTCAGTCGGTTGAGTGTCCGACTTCGGTTCAGGTCATGATCTCACAGTTTGTGGGTTCAAGCCCCGCATCGGACTCTGTGCTGACAGCTCAGAGCCTGGAGCCTGCTTCTGATTCTGTGTGTCCCTCTCTCTCTGCCCCTCCCCTGCTCACACTCTGGCTCTCTGTCACTCAAAAATAAATAAATGTTAAAATTTTTTTTTAAAGTAATGTTTTATATATAAAAAGGAACATATACATTCAGTTACTCAGTCACTTCTTATATGTAATGATGTAATTTTTCCTAATGCCTTGTGAAATGGATTTACATTTCATTGTTGTCTGGATTAACTAGACCAGCCCTCACAAATTTAATATTGAAAGTAATATTAATAATGTAAACATATGCATACCATAAGAAAATGATAGACCTGATGCCTCAACATGGGATGTATGTAAAAAAATTAGAAATTATTATGAAAATTATTTGAAATATGGGTTTCTCTTTATTGTTGTTAATGGTGAACTCTGTCTTAAGTGTATGTTGTGCCTCAACATATTTATCAGTAAGAATATAAAGCCATTGTGATTTTCAAGACGTTTAAAAGCAAGTGGGTAGAACAGGAAGATGAATCTCTACAAATTGAAAGCAACATTATATTCAGTGAAAGAAGCCAGATACAAAACCCACCCACTGTATGATTCCATTTATATGAAACATTCAGTAAGCAAATTCATAGATACATAAAGTAGATTAGTGTTTGCCAGGGCCTATGAGTAGGAGGAAATAGGGAGTGATTGCTAATGGGTTACAGGGTTTCTTTTGGGGATGATGAAATATGGAATTAGGTTGTGGTGGTGGTTGCCTAAGTCTGGATTATACTAACAAGTGCTTTAAAAGCATGAATTGTTTGGTACATGAGTTATATGTCAGTAAAGCTGTGTTGTTTTTTTTTTTTTTTAAGATTCATTATAACACTGGATAAGAAGAATAAACTAAGAAATATTTTAAAATACTGGGTTTTTTTATGTTTTTATTTATTTCTGAGAGAGAGAGAGAGAGACAGCATGAGCAGGGGAGGGTCAGAGAGAAAGAGGGAGACACAGAATCTGAAACAGGCTCCAGGCTCTGAGCTAGCTGTCAGCACAGAGCCCAGCACGGGGCTCAAACCCATGAACCATGAGATCATGACCTGAACCAAAGTCAGACGCTTAACTGACTGAGCCACCCAGGCGCCCCTTAAAATACTGTTTTTATGTAATGCTTTGAAATGTTTATCTTCTGTGACTTTTTCAGTACTAGAGTAATATAGTACTACGTGTATTTAAATGTACATATCTGAGGACTCTGTTCCATCCAGTTCCTTACGTCCCTTCCCATTTCCCTTTTCCTCTTCACTAATAGTGGTGCACACTTTGGAAAAGTTGGAGATCCCTGTATTAGAGTTGTAAAGAAGGAAAGACATGTCAAGGTTCCATTTAACAGTGGTGTTTTATTTCAAGTATACCAGGGGACAATAGGTCGGACAGGACATTGTCTTTAAGATTTGGATGGACGCCAGTTTTCATGGAAAATCAGAAGGTATTACCTACTGCTATGGATACAATGGAGAAAGTTATTCAGCTAGTCAGTTTGCATCCCAAGTATATAACTCCCAAGAAAATGAGAATCCTGTTGGGTTGATTTGTCATGATAGAGTATTTCTTTTGGGCATAGTTTCATGCTGAGCCAGTTAGAAGGCCTTGACTTCATGAGCTGGTAGAAAGAAGGCTATGAAAGGATTCCATCTACTGTAGACTGTGATTTTAAAACATAGCATTTTAGTAATATACAACCCAGAATTAGATTAAGAATGTTTTGTTGTAAATTAGGAATTGCATGATCTTGAATGAGTTTGTATATAAAAAGATGTAAAATTGTCTTATAGTGTCACAATTTCATGGGTTCCTTGTTCTTTAATTTCTTAATTTGCTATACCAATCTTATTGGAAGAAGAGCTGCAAGAAACTTTCTTAAAGCAAATTTGAATGATTGATTCTTAAATGAATGTTTTTCTGATTAAGAAAGGTATATGCTATTTTGTCTTAAATCATAAATTATTTCTGAAGTTGCTATTTGGAAGATATAAATGTAGCGGTGACTGGTGGCTCAGTCAATTAAGCATCTGACTTGAGCTCGGATCACGATCTCGCAGTACGATCGCAGCTCGGATCACGATCTCAAACGTGAGTTTGAGCCCTGCAGATTCTGTGCTGACAGCTCAGAGCCTGGAGCCTGCTTCTGATTCTGTGTGTCCCTCTCTCTCTGCCCCTCCCCCGCTCACATTCTGTCTTTCTTTCTCTCTCAAAAATAAATAAACAGTAAAAAAAAGTTGAAAGATATAAATGTATAATGACTGGTACTTAATGAATATTTTTATTGAAGTGTAATTAACATACAGAGTTCTATTAGTTTCAGGTGAATGGTATGATTCAACAATTCTGTACAATTTTCACTGTCATCAAAATAAATGTACTCTTAATCTCTTTTATTTGTCTCAACCCAACCTCCCCTTTGACAACCACCAGTTTGTTCTTAGTTTTTTTTTTTTTTAATAATTTTTTTTTTAATGTTTTATTTATTTCTAGGAGAGAGAGAGACAGCGTGAGCAGGGGAGGGTCAGAGACAGAGGGAGTCACAGACCGAAACAGGCTCCAGGCTCTGAGCTGGCAGTCAGCACAGAGCCCGACGCGGCGCTCGAACCCACGAACCGCGAGATCATGACCTAAGTGAAAGTCAGACGCTTAACCGACTAAGCCACCCAGGCGCCCCTGTTCTTAGTTTTTAAGAGCCTGCAGTTTGTCTTTTTTCTTTGTTTTGTTTCTTAAACTCCACGTAGTGTGAGAACATATGGTATTGTCTGACTCGTTTCACTTAGCATTATTGTAACATCTATGTCCATCCATGTTGCTGCTAATGGCAAGATTTCATTCTTTTTATGGCTGAGTAATACTGTATTGCTATGTGTGTGATGTATATGTATATAGGTATATACATACATATTCACACTGTATTCCATGTCTTCTTTATCCATTCATCTATGGATGGACACTTGGGTTGTATCCATATCTTGGCTATTGTAAATAATGCTGCCGTAAACATAGGGTTGCTTATATCTTTTCAAATTAGTGGGGTTTTTTTCTTAGGGTAAATACTCAGTAGTGGAATTAATCATATGGTAATTCTATTTTTAATTTTTTAAGTAACCTCTGTACTGCTTTCCACAGTGGCTGCACCAGTTTGCATTCTCACCAACAGTGCATGAGGCTTCCTTTTTCTCCACATTCTTGACAACATTTGTTATTTCTTATTCTTCTGATTCTAGCTATTCTGAAAGGTCTACGGTGGTAATCTCGTTGTGGTTTTGATTTGCATTTCCTTGATGATTTGCATTGGTAATTAATGTTGAGCCTCATTTCATGTGTCTTTTAGCCATCTCTATGTCTTTGGGAAAATGTTTATTCAGGTCCTCTACCCATTTTTAATCAGGTTGGTTTTTTTTTTTTTTTTTTGGTATTGAGTTGTATAAATTCTGTATATTTTTTGTATTAACCCCTTATCAGATATATCATTTGCAAATATCTTCTCCCATTCATTAGGTTGTCTTTTTGTTTTGCTGATCATTACCTTTGCTATGCAGAAGCTTTTTATTTTGGTATAATCTCAATAGTTTATTTTTCTTTTTGTTGCTCTTGCCTGAGGAGACATACCTAGAAAAATGTTGCTAATGCCAATGTCAAAGAAATTATTGTCTGCCTTTTCTTCTAGGAGGTTTATGGCTTCAAGTCTCACATTTAGGTCATTAATGCATTTTGAATTTACTTTTATGTATGGTATAAGAAAAGTGGTCCAGTTTCATTCTTTTGCATGTAGCCGTCCAGTCTTTCCAGTACCGTTTGTTGAACAGAGTATCTTATCCCTGTTCTATTTTTGTAGTATAAAAGGAAAAGCCTGGCGAATTTTTTAAATTTTAATTTTAAAATGAAAAATTCATTAATGGATGCTTCATGATGAGCAGCCATTCAACTAATTAACAACCCAAAATGATAATTTAATATAATGATGTTATATTCTTTCCATAGGTTTTACTGAAAACTACAGCTGGAGATATTGACATAGAGTTGTGGTCAAAAGAAGCTCCCAAAGCTTGCAGAAATTTCATTCAGCTTTGTTTGGAAGGTAAAAGTATATCTTTCCACAACATTGAAGTCTGCTGTTAAGTAGTGGTAATGAATGACAGGAGTTGGGATGAGTGATATGGTGTTGAGCTGTTGTTACGTGAGGAAGTGGATAGGGGAGATAAAGATTGTCTTTCAAATAAATCGTTATACCTTAGCAGAAAAATTTATCTTGCCAAATAAATCCTGTTTGATCTTCTTTCCTATTCTGCACTTCTTTTCTTTCATCCTCTAAATAAGGGTACTCCCTAAGATTGCCCCTAGTTCTCTACTGTCTTTACTCTTCAGTTGTTATTTCTTTCCAAATGACTGGCAGATGTAGAATTTTAGCCACTCCTCTCTTCTTAGCTCTAACTTACGTATCACTTTTCCACTCCAAACTCCCTCTGTCAACTATAACTAACCCAGACTGCCTTGACTTTCACCTGCATGATTGTGATTGTCTTTTACCTGGTCTTTCTCTCTATCATCCTTAATCTCTTTACCCTTTTATTTATTTATCTGGTAGTTGACTCCTCAGACAGGTTAGCTTCCTAGCATTTCAACTTTGTTTTTCATTGCAGTAAATAACTATATGGTTTCAGTTGACTATGATTTTTATTTCCTGAGCGGTTTCTCCCTGTTGCCACTTTCACACATATCCTCATACTTCTTTCATATCCTCAGTCTCCTTTTTTGGAATACTTTTTCTTTCTTCCTTACTGTTCACAAGTCTACCCACTTTATAATCTCTGTCCAAAATTCTGCTTTCTCCATGAAGCCTTCCGTCCAGGATTCAGTGATGTCATTATCAATGTCTCTAGTCTGTTCTTAGACTGAGTCACAACGTGATTATTTTTCTTTCAGTAAACTTTGCAGAATTATACATCCACTTGAGTGTTTTCTCCTTTAGAATATTCCCTTATAGAACTAAACATTCTAAACAATTTTGCAACTTGTTGGCTTTGACAATACATTGCATATGGTTTCAAATATCTCCAATGGTGGCAAATCATTGCCTTTCTAAGTTATACCTGATTTGTAGAGACAAATCAGTTATACCTGATTTGTAACACACAAGGTTAATCAGGTATCAGAAAACAGCATTTTGAGTTAAAGGCAGGGTGTGAAAGATAATCCAATATAACCAGTAGGAGGGTACAGCCAGAGTTCCTCAAATAGGTAATAATTACACAAATAGATAAATATCAGGGAAAGATTTAAGGTATAAAAATACCCAGGCCTCCCCCCCCAAAAAAAAAAGAAAAGAAAAAGAGAAAGACATCTGTGAAGACCATTATTAATAATTGCTATGGCAGGCAGGAAGGAAATTGAGTCAGACAGGTAGGAGAGTCAGAAAAGCCTCAAATAACCATCAACAGAGCTGAGAAACCCAGTAGACACAGAAAAGTCAGACTTGTTTCTGGAAAGAAGTTTTGAATACTCAAAAGCTCAAATTTTACAGGGGAAGAGTGAAAGTACAAAAACATTAGAGAGAATGAATGGTAATTAACAATCCATGACCAGGTGAATGGAAGAAACAGAAAACATCTGGATATAATATGACAGTGAAGAAGAAATAAAGTTCTGAAGTTAGGTCATGATCAAACTTAATTGGAACAACATAAATTATTCCCCTCTTTATAAGAAAACAAGGAGAAAGAGAAAAGAATAGAAAAATTATAAGAAAAATAACTAGAGCAATTCTCTTAATTGAAGAGGCAAGAGAGAGAATTATTACTGCAAAGGCTAAAATGAAGCCTGAGAAGACTAACTGAGATGAAGATACTCCCAAATAGAGTCAAGGTTTTAAATATATAATTTGGAGAACCTCATTTAATTCACTAATTCTGTTATTTAAACAAGTCATGATATGTCGGGATCTTGTAACATTCGTATCAGTATTTTCTTCAAAAGGGATGATTTCCAGAATTAAACAGGAAGTAAGTAAAAACCAGGAAGGTGGAGCACTGTATCAGATATGGCGCCCAACTAAAATGTAGTTCACAGGGAAGTTCTTAGGCTTTTTTTCCTCCAGCTTTATCAAGGAGTTGTAGACAAATATAAATTGCATATATTTAGGTTGTACAACATGATTTTTTTAAAGGTGTACAAGTGTGATGATTTAATATATGTACACACTGTAGAATGATTATCACAATCAAGTTAAGTAGCGTATCCATCACCTCACTTAGCAAATTGCCAAGTATACGATACAGTATTATTAACTATAATCGCCATGTTATACATTGAACCCCCAGAAGTTATTCATTTTATATCTGAAAATTTATACCTTTTGACCAACATATCCCCATTTCTCACACCTGCCAGCACCTGACAACCACAATTTTACTCTCCAGTTCTGAGTTTAACCTTTTTAGACTCCACATTCAGAATGTGTCATTCTAGTATCTTGGGGACATTTTTAGTTTTTGTGGAAATGAAAGATCTAGAATTACACAGCTTTAATCTTAGATTTAAGGTTTTACAGAATAGTTAGGTGAACATTTAAAAGTGAATAAAATTTTTTAAAAATAGGTTTAAAAAGGTAGAAGCAAAGGGAGGTTGTTGCTTTTGGTAGTTTTATTGGTTCCTCTGAAGTATGAGGAAGGAGTAAAATTTTAGGTTGGCAAAACAAAGTGGGGAGCAGAGAGAAGTAGTTAAGAAAATCAAATTTTTATGCTTTATATGACTATTAATTTCTTTACTTCTATTTTACCTTAGCTTTACTCTTTAAGATCTATTCTTGGAGCGCCTGGGTGGCTCAGTTGGTTGAGCATCCAACTCCTGATTTCAGCTTGAGTCATGATCCCAGGGTCTTGTATTGAGCCCCACACCGGGTTCCATGCCGAGCACAGAGCCTGCCTAAGATTCTTCTCTTAACCTCGGCCTCTCTCCTCCATGTGTGCTTTCTCTCCCTCTCTAAAATAATAATATAAAAAAAAGTTAAAAAAGATCTATTCTTTATCAGTTATCTCTATCCCCTACCTCCTTTAATAATAGTTGAATGATTCTTTAGAAGTGACCAACATAAGTATAAATTAAAAGGTTAAAAGAAATATCTTTATAAAACTAAAATATTTGTTTAAAAAAAAGCCCAAAGAGGCAAAAATAAATAGGGCAGACAGGCAGCAAAAGGAGTTATAAATAAAAAGTTATTAGTAATAATATTTATAAAATTAAACACAAATACAAGATTCTAGAAGAAATATACATAAATCACTTAAAAATGCAATAGTTAATTTCTATATATTACTTAGGAGATATATAATTAGATAAACTGTACCCTGATATCCATATAGCCAGAAATACAAACTATAATGGCAAATACCAGAACCATAGAGGCCAAATAGGAACTTTATTTCATATTTAAGATACATGAAAATGTCTTTCTTCAATAGTGAAGAAAATTCAGGAAGATATGACCACACTTAATGAATTGAAGAAAATCACTTTCTTCACAACACTTATGGGAATGATTACATAAACATTTAAGAAGAAAGTCAAATAAACATTACTGCATGTCGCAAAATCTATTATAGTACATGGTAAACTATGAAGACAACTATAAATGCATAGTCAGCAGTGATATGAATAAGCTACATGGAAACAGAAATGGTGGATATGGAGATTTTGCGGAAATTTGAAATTTTAGCCATGTTAGATTATAAAATTATGGTGTAGAATAATTATAGAAAATTCCTACTCATTATATATAATAATTTCATTCATCCAATAAGAATATAATTAGGAATATAAAAAGAAAAAGCTTAAAGTAAAAAGCCAATATCACTGAAAGATTTAATAGGAAAAAGGAGTAATCTAGTTAATTGTAAAATTGGAAAGCTCAAATAATAAAGATCTCTTTCATATCTTCCTTCCCTCACATCTAATAGATTTCTGAGTCTTATTCTAGAGAATTCTTAAGTATGTGCCTCTCAGCAGAAGTTACGGGCATGGTTTACTCTTGAGACAATAGTTGTTTCCTCTCACTCCAGCCTTGTCATTTCCTTCCAGTCCATTCTCTATACTGGGAGTTTGAGTGATCTTTTGAAAAAGCAGATCTGATAAAAAATGTTGATTGGCTGCATATTATGGACCTAAAGGATTATTATCATTTTCTGATATAGACTGGGGCATGTAGCAGATTTAAATATGTAGAATTTAAGTGAAAATATTAAAGTTTGACCTCACATTTGTATTGAACTTGAAAATTTGTAGGGTGCATCCACATTATCTTATTTAATCTTCAGAACAACACGGTGAATTAATTTATAATATTAATTTTATAATGAGAAAATTATACGTACAGCATGTGGATGATAGTTAACGTTATACTGCACATTTGGAAGTTGCTGAGAAAGTAGATCTTAAAAGTTCCCATCACAAGAAAAAGGAATTTGTTACTATGTGAGAGAGAATTATTACTGCAAAGGCTAAAATGAAGCCTGAGAAGACTAATTGATATGAAGATACTCCCAAATAGAGTCAAGGTTTTAAATATATAATTTGGAGAACCTCATTTAATTCACTAATTCTGTTATTTAAACAAGTCATGATATGTCGGGATCTTGCAACATTCGTATCAGTATTTTCTTCAAAAAGGGATGATTTCCCCATCTATTCTGAGAGAGAGAGAGGGAGAGAGAGAGACAGACAGCGTGAGCAGGGGAGGGTCAGAGAGAGAGAGAGAGACACAGGATCTGAAACAGGCTCCAGGCTCTGAGCTTGCTGTCAGCACAGAGCCCAACGTGGGGCTTAAACCCACAAACCGTGAGATCATGACCTGAGCCGAAGTCGGACGCTTAACCAACTGAGCCACCCAGGTGCCCCTGTATCCCAATTTTTTAAAAAGAGGGAAAAATAGAGGGGCATCTGGGTGGCTCAGTTGGTTAAGCATCTGACTTTTGGTTTTCGTTTTGCCTCAGGTCGTGATCTCACCGTTTTGTCTGAGACCTGAATTGGGCTTTTCGCTGGCAGTGCAGAACCTGCTTGGGATTCTCTCTCTCTACTTCTCTCTCTGCCCCTCCCCTGCGCACATTGTCTCTGTTTCTCTCAAAATAAATAAATAAACTTAAAAAAACTAGAAAGAGAGAAAAAAAGAAATTGAGTTTAAGGCTTCCCAGCTAGCAAAAGCCAAGACTCAAAATTCCTGCATGCCACATACAGTGTTAACCTGAATAAATGGTTACTTAAGGGTATAGGCGAAACACTTTTAGACTTCTTAGTTTTTACAGTTTCTATTTGTAACCAAGGAGCACTTGTTTGCACTGGAGAGCTCTTGCAAATATAGCCCAATAACTTCACTGGGAGAAAGGATTGAAAAAAGTCAGTTGTCCCTCCTTTCTACTTCTTCCTATCTATCCTCTATAATGGATACAGTTGTTAGGTTACAGATTAAATTTTTTAAAATATGGATTTTATATCCAGTTATACCTTGCAAATGTAAATAATTATGAGGGTGCCTGCAAGCCACTATATTATAGTATTTTATGAATTACGATAAACCATAGTCTTGTTTTGACTCATAAAGTATCACAGAGTAACTATGTAATAGGTACTTCATGAATTCTGTTAGTAGTTGTTTGGTACATTGCCTGGCCCACAGTAGGCACTTGCTTTGTATTTGTCATTGAATGACTTAGATTGTGTTCAGGTGCACATAGGAAAAGACACAGTTTAGTGTTATTTACATTAATAAAGACATTCATAATCCTGTATGACAAGAAAACTGATGTCAGGCAGTTCTGCAGCTCAGTGAAGCTTTCAGGAAATTATGCTTTTCCCATCTTTTCTGCTTTGCAAGCCTCAGCGTGTGACTGAGCTAGGACTACACTCAGTAATTGACTCCACCTCAGTCTAGTCTGTTGCTACTTGACTTTTGTTTGTTTTATTTTACAACAACAATAATAGATTCTGTTTATTCAGCACTTCCTATATTCTACATAAATTTTCCTCTTGTACTCACCTGATTAGTTAATATAAGTTCAAAACCAACTTGAGTGAGATAAAAATAAATTCTTTCCTTTTATTCAAGGGATCTTTTATAAAAGAGGTGAAATTTACATAACATAAAAGTAATCATTCCAAAGACAATTCAATGATATTTTGTATATTTGCTATGTTACACAACCAGCACCTCTTATGACCCCAAAAGAAAGCTACTCGTTAAGCAATAACTTCCTCTTCTCCCTTCTCTCCCTCTGGCAACCATCAATTTGTTTTCCATCTCTATGGATTTACCTATTCTGGATATTTCATATAAATGGAATCATACAATATGTGACTTTTTATGTGTGGCTTCTTTCACATCGTATACTTTTGAGCTTCATCTATACTGTAGTGTATATCAGTACTTCATTCCTTTCTTTGGCTGAGTAATCTTCCACCGCCTGTATATACCTCATCTTGTTTATCCATTCACTCATTGATTGACATTTGGGTTGTTTCTCCCTTTTGCAGTGGCTAATGGCACTGCTGTGAACATTCATGTACAAGTATTTTTTTTAGTACCTGTTTCCAGTTTGGGGTGCAATAGATAATTCTGTATTTAAATTTTGTACAGCCACCAAACTGTGTTGCACAGTGCCTATATCGTTTTGCAAACCGAGTCACAGTGTAGAAGGCTCCAGTTTCACCACCTCCTCACTAACACTTGTTATTTTCCTTTCCTTTGGATGATAGCCATCCTAGTGGGGGTGTGATGTGGTATTCATTGTGGTTTTGATTAGCATTTCCCTAATGACTAACGATATTGAGAATCTTTTCTTATTCATTTTGGCCATTGATGCTACTTAATACAAACTCCCTGATTCAGTCAAACCCTAATTTTTGCCACTTTGCTCTCACCAGCTTCTCTGCTCACTATTTACCTCACTGAGATGCCATGCTTCTGTCATATGCAACTTCTCTTCCTTGGTGAAGTCTCCCTCATGATTTTAGGTTCCATATACTAGGTACTATTAGGAGATCATATATGATCTCTCTTGTATGTTAATAGCTTCCAAATAATATATTTATGTATAAACTGTAATACAGAGTTTTAGAGACCCCTGGAGTAAGTATAACACAACAACAGTCATGTTTTTTTGTAGAAATTGTCCTGTTTTGAGTAGGCATTTTATAATTAGGGAAGAAAAGGTTTGGGGTTAGGAGCCTATTTAGCAGTCTGGGGGCAAAAATCTTGTGACTCTAATTACATTAACTGATAGCTATATACTTCATTTTAGACTTTACTAAATTTTTTAAAATTTCTTTCAGCGTATTATGACAACACCATTTTTCATAGAGTTGTACCTGGTTTCATAGTCCAAGGGGGAGATCCTACTGGCACAGGGACTGGTGGAGAGTCTATCTATGGAGCCCCATTCAAGGTGAGACCAAATTTTTATTGTTATTTATTTGCAAATCCATTTGGATTCCTTATTTGAAAATGACTGTGTCCCTAGTGGAAAAAAAAAATGCATTTCACATTACTGCATAAAATCTGGTGCTTATCACATGTCTGGGGGTATAAGGTATAAGAACAGCACTTACCCTATCAAGCATTCTTTCTGAGTTGTCTTATTGCTGATTTTTATGCTAGATTGAATTCAGGTAGAGCTAACTGTAGTAGTGAGGAAAACGTAAGTCACAATAAAAGATTATATAACATAATCCTTGATAGCTGACTGTATCTGATCTCTGCAACTCTGTAAATGTAAACAGTTTTTTAGACATTTCATATGCCATTTTATTTTAAGATAGTTTATTTAACACTATATGGAATTTGTGTTAATTTACTTGTACCATTACAACAAAATACCACTGACAGGTTGACTTAAGCAACAGGAATTTGTTTCTCACAGTTCTGGAGGCTAGGAAGTACAGATCAACTTGGTGGCATTCAACTTCTGGTGAACATTCTCTTCCTGGCTTGTAAATGGCTGCCTGCTCGCTGTGTCTTTACATGGTAGAGAGGGTGAGCTCTGGTCTCTTCCTCTTTTATCGGATTAGGGCTTCACACTTATGACATCATTTATCCCTTATTATCTCCTCACAGGCCCTGTCTCTAATATACTCACACTGGTGGTTACAGCTTCAACGTCTGAATTTTGTGGAGACACATTTGGTCCAATGCAGAATTCATTCTTAATTATGCACTATAGACCTCTATAGTGTAAAATAACATTTCACAACAGGAAATCACAAGGGGATAGAAGAAGGAATTAAAATGAAAAGTATTAGAAAAGAGTATATTAATCAAAAATAGGTCAATGATGGGGCTCCTGGGTGACTCAGTTGGTTAAACATCTGACTTTGGCTTGGGTCATGATCTTACGGCTCGTGAGTCCAAGCCCCGTGTCAGGCTCTGTGCTGACAGCTCAGAGCCTGGAGCCTGCTTCAGATTCCGTGTCTCTGCCCCTCCCCCATTCATGCTTTCTCTCTCAGAAATGAATAAATATTTTCAAAAATTTTTAAAAATTAAAAGAAGACTAGGTCAGTGATTTGTTAACTGCCAACACAGATCTGAAAAGAAAAACAGAATTAATGTCATAGAGTATTAAAATAGGGGCGCCTGGGTGGCTTAGTCGGTTAAGCGTCCGACTTTCGCTTAGGTCATGATATTGCGTTCGTGGGTTCGAGCCCCACGTCGGGCTCTGTGCTGACTGCCAGTTCAGAGCCTGGAGCCTGTTTCAGTCTGTTACTCCCTCTCTCTCTGACCCTCCCCTGCTCATGCTGTCTCTCTCTCTCTCTCTCTCCTAGAAATAAAGAAAAAAATAAAATAAAATAAAATAACAGTGGGTTCAAGTAAACACTAAAAGTTAGTTTTTTTAAAATCTGATGGTACCAAAATCATGTTCTTTGAATAAATAAACATCGTTAGCTCTTAAAATAGGAAAATTTAAAAAAAAATTTAATGTTTTATTTATTTCTGAGAGAGAGAGAGAAACAGCATGAGCAGGGGAGGGTCAGAGAGAGAAGGAGACACAGAATCTGAAGCAGGCTCCAGGCTCTGAGCTAACTGTCAGCACAGAGCCCGACGCGGGACTCGAACCCACAAACCAAACTGTGAGATCATGACCTGAGCCGAAGTCGGATCCTTAACCAACTGAGCCACCCAGGCACCCCTAAAATAGGAGAATTTTTGAAGACATGATTATACTAGTGAGATAGAGGGTCTGGAGTTTCTTTTAATTTTTTACTGGGTCATTGTGTGATTCTTGAGAAAAACGAACTGTTTGCTTTAATTTCTAGATGATAATGGCCTTAGAAAATGAGGAATGGTTATAATAAAAAAGTCTCAAATGTTACTATAAAACTATTTTGTATTTTACCAAATTGAGATGACTCCCAATTTTAGAGCTTCCATCTAGTAAGAAGCATTTCTTTATTCTGTTATTCATTGTAACAGAATAGCTCTTTTTGACAATTCCTTTCTAAATTGCAATTTTTGCTTATTATGTTCAGGTAATACAGTTACCTTGTTAAGTTTTTCAGTTAGGTCATTTTTGATAGGGTATGACTCTTTGAGTTCAAATCTTTGACAATTATTTACTAAGGAAAAATAACTTTCTTTTTGAAAAGCATTGATTATATAACATGGCTATATTATAAATAAGCCCAGCATTAGGTCTGGAATGAAATTCTGTTACCAGAGAGAGTAATATAGGTTATGGAGCCCTCCCATAGCAAGAAATCCACCTTAGAAAAGCTTGCTCTTGCTCTTTGGAAAACTGGCAAATGAGACCAGGTCCATTCAGAAAAGGTTTAGCAAAGACCTTTAAAAAACAGAGTAAAGCACATAACACAATTATAGTAGATTCCTTGAATTAAAAACCAAGAAGAAAGCAATTTTTTTCATGATCTTTAGAATTGAGTGGAGAAGGGCAATAGTTGAAGACTGTGGAATGATCAAAGGTAGGTTTTTTTGGAGAAAAAATAGAGAAGGTTCTAAAAAGTTAGATAATTTTGAAGGATGAGAAGAATAGGGGAATGACTTTGAAATCAATTCCCCTTTGAGTGCCCTTCTTCTGTGTAAATATAGGCAGCTTTCCCATAAAATAGGCTAAATTTGTGGTTGTGTATTTAAGAAGATACTTACAGGCTAGTGAAGTTAAGTTTAATAGCATTGAGGGAATTAATATTGGATTTACTTATACTTGAAAATCAGTTAAATAAAACTTTAGCATTTTTTATTAGAAGTTGTATAGAACCTTGCTTACTGAATATGAAGATCCTTATAACTGAGAGATCATTCACTAAACTCTTTTTTTTTTTATACTTCAGGATGAATTCCACTCACGGTTACGTTTTAATCGAAGAGGGCTGGTGGCCATGGCAAATGCTGGTCCTCATGATAATGGCAGCCAATTTTTCTTTACACTGGGTCGAGCAGATGAACTTAACAATAAGCATACCATATTTGGAAAGGTTTGTGTCAGTTATCTTCAGTTTCTATGATACATATGCCCAACTTATCTAGGAGCTGCCCTCATAAAAATATTCCCTAGGGTATTTATTTATTATTTCTAAAAATGATGGACTATATATCCCTTTTACAGTGAACTGTGAAGGACTATCTGAACTTTATGCGTGTGCGTTTCAAATAAGTCATTGATTATGACTATAAAATTTTCTTTTCTCTAAAACATACCACTGGTATTAGCTACTGCATCACTAGGCTGATATTGTTTTTATGTTCTTAGAAACCTAGGTGTTATCTAGGTAATAGGATTTAGTAGTTTTAAGTTTCCCTTAAAATTTAAAGGGGAAGTTGTGTTAACATTAAAACTTTTTACCTGAAATATTACTTTGAATAGTACTATTTAATCCTGCTCACATTTAGCATCGTATCAGGGAATATCCTTTCCACAGAATTTTGAATGGTTTTCTTTAAAGGAGAATTCTGACAGTATTGTTATCTCACTTTCTGTTCAAAAAATATATTCCCGCATGTGTTAAGTCTTAGGCATGTTACACATTCCTAGTATATCAGCTCCCTCTGCTGGTTCACTAGGAATGGTTTCCCCACGGCCTAGGTGAGACTGGATTTTCTGAGGATGATGAAGAAAAAACAAACTGAGCACGACTGGAAAACTGGTATTATTTTAAAACTCCTGAGAAATGTTGAATGTAAGGACTCATGCTGAAAACATGTAGTACAATACTGTTGCTTAAAACTTAACAACATAGGTTAAGAAATAAGAATCGGCACATTTGAACCACTCCAACACAGGTTGTCTGATGTTCAAAGATTTTTCTACCTATTATTTAAAAAAAAAAAAAAAACAAGCATATAATAAAATGAGATTTTGATTGTCATTGTGCACCACTTTTTACAATTGCTATTATATAACTTTCATATTAGAGACAAAGTATAGCTTAGCTTAGTGATGAGAATTCAAAAAGGCCATCACTGTCCCTCTGTAACTTCTTTGAATCTCAGTGTTCTTATCTAGAGAAGGAGAATAAGGACAGTACCTGCTTTTAGAATGTTTATGAGGATTAAATAAGATAATGTCTGTAAAGCACTTCCACACATTCTTGTTATTTGCTTGTTCTGCCCAATTCTAAAATCTAAATTTGTTTATTTTTTTAATGAAAAGTTGTCATTCAGTAGGAGGTTATTTGGCATTATATTTTTATCTTTAATTAAAGCTGATATTATATATATATATATGAAATTTCCTTAAAAATGTTATCAAGGGATTGAACTCCATTTCTGCTTTTTCTCTTTAAGATTAAGATAATGTTGTTTTATTTGCATTATTACTACATATGCTCGCATACAAAAATATGAAATTTCCTTTTAGTTATTGAAAAAATATTTTAGAAGTCCTTTATTTCAAAGAATAAATATAGGGGCTCCTGGATGGCTCAGTTGGTTAAACGTCCAACATCGGCTCAGGTAATGATCTCACAGTTTGTGGGTTCAATTCCCACGTTGGGCTCTGTGTTGACACCTCAGAGCCTGGAACCTGCTTCGGATTCTGTGTCTCCCTCTCTCTCTGTGTCCCTCCCCCACTCATGCTCTGTCTCTCTGTCTCTCAAAAATAAATAAACGTTAAAAAATGAATATAATTCAAAGAATGAATATAATAGTTTGTGGTTTTCTTATTTGCTAGGTTACAGGGGATACAGTATATAACATGCTGCGGCTAACAGAAGTAGACGTTGATGAGGAAGAAAGACCACGCAATCCACATAAAATAAGAAGTTGTGAGGTAGGAGCATGATTTCTGAGATACAATGCTTAAAGGATTGTTTAAAAGAAACCGATTATTAGTATTTTTAAACTATTGGATGGAGGCTTTCTACCAAATCAGTAGCACAACTCAGATTTTTTCTCTGTAATTTAGGTGCAATTTCTGATAAGTTCTTTTTTTTAAATTGAAGGTTTTGACTTCAAGGATGAGACTTGAGCTGATAATCCAATGCATGAAAAGCTTGATTTATAATGCAAAGTTAGAGGGATTAGGCTTATTTAGCTCAATGAAGTGACTTCCAGGGTAATTTAAGTGATCCTTCATTGAGGAAGCAAAGTCCTTAAGAGCATAAAATACTCTTTATTTAATTGCACATAAGATTATTGAGAGAATCCAGTGAGACCATGTAAATGGAAGCACTTTATATTGTATATATATTAGTAGACTTATAATAGTTATGTGAGCAAAAAATACAGATACTAATGTCAACATAATTAAATATTGGTTTTAATTTTTTGTGAAAATTTTAAAAATGGAATAATGTTTTCAAAATATTTTTTTCATAGGTTTTGTTTAATCCTTTCGATGACATCATTCCCAGAGAAATAAAAAAGCCAAAAAAAGAGAAACCAGAGGAAGAAGTAAAGAAATTGAAGCCCAAAGGCACAAAGTAATCCTAATAGAAACATTTTTCTTCAGACTGAAAAGCTGAAGAATTCATTTAATTCATTTTATTTCCTTTTATAACAACTGTCTACTAGTGAGGGGGAGGCCGATGTGGGCCAGAAAGATATCTGAATTATGAGTTTTTTTCCTAAATATGCATTTCTTTTATTTAAAAACTGTATGTAACTTAAACTTAACCTGAAGAAGTATTGTGTCAGGCGTCTAAACAAAATCTGTATTAATAAATAGATAAATATTTATAATCACTCTAACAATTATTTATATAAGTGAGTTAAGAATTTGGTTTTTTACTAGTTTTTCAATTAATATATGCTCAGTATAAAGAACTTGGAAATAACGTATGAACGATATAATGACTGCTTGGTTACATAATTTTTCACTCCTGTGTTGGAGTAAATAAGTTGCAGTATTTTCTGAACAATATTTTTCACATTATTAGTTTTGTCTATTTCATTAAAATAGATGTCAGAGAGTTAGAGCTCAACTTAATCTTTTAGCGAATTGCAGCACCCATATTAGTAATTTTATTGTATTCCTAAGTGATAGATTCAGACTGTTGTAAGGATAATCCTGCCTAACCCTGTTTATAAGAGGCAAAGTGTGTTAATATTTCTGAGCTTCAGTTTCCCCATCTTGTAAAATGGAGATTATAATTACAATACCTGGTTGTTATGAAGATAAAATGAGAATGGGAATTTGAAAACACCCAGTGGTATAGGTATTCAATACATATTTGTTTCTTTCCGTGACATCCTACAATGTAAGTTAAGATGCTTTTATAAACTGTCCTATAAATGTGAGCCACTTTAATAAACAGTAGATGTTTTGAGGCAAAATAAATTCTTATATAGCTATGTATTTGATCTCCTATATTTTGATTCATTTATTTTGACTAGTTTATCTCTGAGTGGAAGGTCACTGTCACCATATTCAGACAGAATATTTCATCACTTTTATTCATCTTGGCAACAAGCCCCAAAGCTATGTGTTTTTGTTTTTGTTTTTAATTCATAGCCAATATCTTAGGGATGACTGGTAGTCATTGATTACATCTAGGTTTTGAAAGAAAACTTCCTCTTGTTGCCAAATCTTTTATTTTTCCAATATTTGAGAGAGAGTTTTAATAACCTATTATCTTGAGATAACCTATCTTCCTTGAGATATCTTTAATTTGAAGCCTCAAAGAAGACAAACAGTTTTTTCTTCCCAATGGGCTCTTTTTTGTTAAGATTATTTCTTATATTTTTTTATTTGACAATTTTGTATAACTTTTATCAGTTTTTTAATTTTTTTTTTTTTAAATGTTTATTTATTTCTAGGAGACAGAGAGAGAGAGACAGCGTGAGCAGGGGAGGGTCAGAGAGGGAGTCACAGACTGAAACAGGCTCCAGGCTCTGAGCTGGCAGTCAGCACAGAGCCTGACGCGGGGCTCGAACCCACGAACCGTGAGATCATGACCTAAGCGAAAGTCGGACGCTTAACCAACTAAGCCACCCAGGCACCCCATCAGTTTTTTAATTTTAAGACGTATTTTGGAAGACACTAGATTAATTACTTCCCATTTAATGCTCTATAGTTCTCTTGGGGCTCTATATTTATTAGTTTTTCAGAAATCTCCATTTTGCGAAACCATTTTATAAATATAAAAAAGCTTAATTATTTCTGTCATGCTTAGTGTACTTAATGGTCATGTTCAGTATGGATTTTGATCATTAGTTTCATCTAATATTTAAAATATCTATGGTCTGAGGCCAGTGTCTTAACATTATGCTGAAAATACAGATCTTTAGCATATTTCTGCTGGGTCCTGTGTCATATTGGGTACTGCTGAACAGTCAAAATGTGTTTCTTCTTGTAAATTCTGTTCTATTGCTTTGAAAATACAGTACCTAAGAGTTTTATTTAATTTTTTCTTAATTTTCTTTCTCTTTTCCTTTCTTTCCTTTTTTTGTTAAGAAATTTTAGTTTACTTTCATTTGGAGAGGAAGCTGAAGAAGAAGAGGAGGAAGTAAATCGAGTTAGTCAGGTAAAACTCTTAAGTTACCCTTTGTTCTGAATTATAAGATATTTTTGTATCTTTTGCTGCATGTGGCAGAGCATGTTTTTCATAGTACACAGTCAGGAAGTGTTTATCGAACTGATTTGTAAACTGTTTTGTTGTTAGTAATATTTACAACTCCTGAGATGATATGCCCTCTTAAAATTATAATTTTGTGGGTTTTTTTAACTTGGCTTTTTTTTTTTTTTTTAAATCAGTCAGAACTAGAGTTAAAGAACAATTCAACTTTGTGGTTCAAATTTTAATTGCTATTTGTTTAAGTGGTTTGCTAGATAATAACGATTATGATCCTTGTTATAATAAATAGTGACAGACCAAAGATCTTATATTCATTTTAATATTATCTATATATATTTACTAATGTCATTAATTCTCATCACAGCCCTTTAAGATACATATTATCATTATCCCCATTTTACCCACAAATAAATTCAGGTATAGATAGATTATAATTTGCTCAGTCACACAACCAGTAAGTAGCTAGAGCTGGGATTTGAACCTATGTCTGCCTCAGTATAAGATACGTGTATTTTTGGATTATATATTGCCCCCTGGTCTTTGACCCTACCAGTGCTTCCACTAGGCCTGAAAGTATGATTTTCCTGAATATCACTTTTATCACAGTACGTGCTGTGAAACACCTGTGGTGCCTTGCCATTATTTAGAGCAGTGAATCTGTTAAACATACTCCAGGAAAATCAACCTCCGGGGTTTGTACTTCCAAAGATTCTGGTATGTCTTCCCATGGATGATGAAGAAATTATGGAAATTTATTTAGAGAGTCAAATATGGGGGATGGGATGGGGGAAGGAAGGGGAGGGACGACTGCCTTTGATACAGGCAGTTTGGTACATTATAATAATAGGGGAGGCTTGCAATGCAGTGTTTAAAAAGTAGACAGTTCTTGATTTTATATCTGTTTGTAAAGAAGACCATAATGCCTTTAAATCACTCTTCTGTAAATAGATTACCTTTTTGCAGTGTTTAAAAAAAAGGAAGAAAAAATTAGTGAATCTGGAGACCTAAAGGATTAGGTTCAAAGTTTTATCATAGTAATTAAATTTTATAACTTAGCATTGTCTTATTTACTTAGAAATGTTACCTATTTCTAACCAACAGTTACAATAGCATTGACTTAAAAGCACATTATTTTTACCCTCGTTTTTAATTCTTGATCCATATACTTCCCTCATCATAGAAGATGGTTTTGGTAGGCTAATACTGGGTATAGTAGTAAGCACACTATTTCTACCTATTGCATTGAGACTGAATTAAAATGGACATGTGTAAGAAATGTTATGAGGGTGCCTGGGTGGCTCAGTTGGTTAAGCATCCAACTTCAGCTCAGGTAATGATCTCACAGTTCATGAGTTCAAGCCCCACATCAGGCTGTCTGCTGTCAGCACAGAGCCCACTTTAGATCCTCTGTTCACCTCTCCCTTTGCCCCTCCATTGCTCACGCTCTCTCTCTCTCTCATACACACTCTCTCTCTCTTTCAAAAATAAACATAAAAAAAGAATTAAAAAAAGAGAAATGTTCTGGTCATAGTTGTGTCTTGCTTTCTTCAGTGTCTTTGAGTGATATATTTGATACCATGGATTCAGCTACTACCTGGATACTAATCTTAACTCTAGGAACACTGCTCAATATTATTTCTGGGCTATTATTTCACATTCTTGATTTTTTCTTTAGGAAACATCTCTACTTTAGATATCAAACTTAAATCCATCTTTATATGAAAACTTCCTTTCTCTAGGCCTGTTCAGTATCATTAATCACTCTGGCACCCTAGTATCTCTGAACTTATCTTCTTTAGATGTCAGGGCACTAGTTTTGTATTATTCATGATTCAAATTTGTGCCTTATTAAAATGAAAGATATATTACATATCATGATCCTGTGGGTATATTTGTAAATGGACAAAACCACAAATGTCACATCTTGAAATTGCCAGGAGTCCCTTTTACTGATGTTTTCTAAAGATGTCAAGTTTCCTTACAAACCCATGCCTTCCCCACAAAACCCCCCACTCCTGTGTTTCCTTTTGCCTGGAGTGTGTTCTCTTTCATTTGGCCAATTTTTGTTTTTCCTTTAAGATTTAGCTCCACTGTCAACTCTGGACTACCTCCACCACCCTCCCCAAGCCATCTCCCACCCAGGCTGAATTTAACTTCTCCATAGTAATCTGTCTGTGGCCATCAATGCATATATTATACTGCACTGTAGTGATATATTTTTCTATCTGCTCCCTGTACGAAGTATTTATTTTATGTAACCTCTAAAATGGCCATGTTTTAATAATACCTATATTATTCCTATTTAAGGGAGGAAATCAATACTCAGAAAAGCTGGGTCACTATGAAAGACCATGTAATTAGGAGGTGGTACAATCAGAGTTTTGGTCTTAGGTTTCTATAGCCATTCACGTCTCTAATACGATTTCAAATGCTCAGAAGTTGCCTCCTCCCAGGGCACCTGGGTGGCTCAGTTGGTTGAGTGTCTGACTTCGGCTCAGGTCATGATCTCATGGTTTGGTTCGTGGGTTCGAGCCCCGCATTGGGCTCTATCCTGACAGCTAGCTCAGAGCCTGGAGCCTGCTTCAGATTCTGTGTCTCCCTCTCTCTCTGATCCTCCCCTGCCCACATTCTCTCTCTCTCTCTCTCTCTCTCAGAAATAAATAAAAACATTAAAAAAAAAAAAAAAAAGAAGAAGAAGCTGCCTCCTCCCAGCCCAAGCCATGTAGAAGACTGGCGGGGAAATTGCCTTTGGTGGCACAGCATTCTGGGGTGGAAGGTAGCTCAGCGTTGCTGGCCCGCTGCACTTGCCTAACTCCCACAGGGTCCTCGACACCAGGCTCAGCAGACTTGGAGACAGAGCCACCATAGGAGAAAGAAGTTCTTCTATCACTCTATTTGTAGAATTAAATTTCTAGTCTAAAGTAAGTTTAATTCACCATTACTTTGGGATTGGCTTTACTAGGAAATTAGTTTGAATTTTTTCCATTTGCTTTTGTTTGTTTATTTTGTGCTAATCCCAAGTGCCCTCCTCCATGCCATCACCTCCCTTCCCCTCCCCCCACCCTGAATTTTTTCTATTTGTAACAACAGTATTTGTTACATGTTTAAAGCTTATCTTCTGCTGCTGCTTACTATTATTGTACAAAATAAAACAAACAAAATGTGTAACTTACACTGAATTTAGTGAACTTGAGAAAAGCAATTTGTGTTTGCTACAAGGTTGAAATGTGAAAGGAGACCACTGCAGATAGTGCTGGCTTGCCCTTTATGTTTGCTCTCAAACCTGAAAGAGACTTCACACAGTGGAAAGACTAAATTCCTTCTTTTTTGCCAAGAAAATTGCAAACCACAGTCCATTATCAAATGAATAGTATAAGCCTAGCATTGTGTCATCATATTTCTCTCATCTGACTCTGTGCTGTGTGATAAAATTATCAAATGTTTGTTTCTGACCCTCAAATCTGTATCTCTGAGCTGGCTTACTCTTCTTTTCCCCAGCTGCCTACTGGCCATCTCTCTCTCTTTGAATATCTTACTAGTAACCCAAGCCCTGGCCAGGGCTTAGTTCATTATCTTTGTTTCCCAGTCTTCTCCCTGTTCTGTGACTTCTTTTTCCATTCCCTGATAACAGTATCCTCTAAAGAAAAACTGTAGATTCAGATGTTTTTATTATTTTTTTCTTAGCAAAACCAGTTTGTTGTACTGTTCTACCAATTTTTATCCAACATATCTTAAATATGTTTTTCCTTTTAATTTATCTTCCACTACCCTCATTCAGGCCTTTACTTTTAGCCTGCGTTGCAGACTATAGACTGGTCTCGCAATTTCTTGCTCTTCTTTCTCTTCCTCTCACTACCATCAGAACAGTCTTCCTACAATCCTGAAACCTCTTTAAGATGTCACAGTTACATTCTGTTAACTATAGAAATAAGGCCACGACCCCCCTTTATCAACTCTGCCCTTTGGTCTAGTACTTTTTTTTTTTTAATGTTTATTTATTTACTTAGAGAGGAGGGAGGGAGAGGGAGAGAATGCAAGCAGAGGAGGGGCAGAGAGAAAGAGAGAGGGAGAGAACCCTATGGAGGCTCCACACTGGCCAGAGCCCCATGCGGGACTCAATCTTGCAAACAGTGAGATTATGAGCTGAGCGGAAATCAAGAGTCAGATGCTTAACTGATGGAGCCACCCAGGCACCCTAGTCTAATACTTCCTAAACCACTTAAAAACCACTGGAAAATGAGGTCCAATTCTTTTTTAAATATTAAAAATTATATTCCTACACCCCATCTCAGACCTACTGACTCAGAATCTCCAAGGAAGGGGCCTGGGAAGCTACTGTTAATGAATTCCTTGGAAATCTTGTCAGGGAAATGTAGGCAACACTGTTAGCAGATCTGAACTATTTGCTGTTCTATGTAAATGTTTTGTATTTTCCTTTCTGTGTGTCTTTCTTCACGTTCTTTCCCCTGTCTGAAGTCCTATCCCATTCTGGATATCAAAGTCATACTTATTTTAAACACCTAAAATACCATCTTTTCTAAACGTCTTTTCTTGATTATTTCTTTTTCTGATCTAACCTTTGCCTCTCTTGTGAGACTTAACATTTTCCTTTTAATAACATCCATTTTGTTTTATTACAGAAGAAATATGTGACTACGTACTCACTGTATACTACTCAAACATTATATCCTTTCCTTTCTGCCATATTAAGTATGTAGAGTCCTGGGCTGTGGGCTCTTTGATGGTAAACTGTTTCATCTTCGAGTGGCAGGAGGCTGGAGTAGAAATAGCATGGATTTGGGATCATACACATTCATATTGGTTCTTTACTTTCTACTCCTACTTTGTGACCTTGGATAACCTATGTCTCTGAGACTTACCTCTCCTCCTTGTAACATGAAAATACTATGAACCATTCAGAGTTGTGAAACAAGGACATGGGTAGTCACTACTTCAATACAATATGCAGTCTTGCAAAATGTGTTTGAAAGTCAAATGTCTTAAACAATATACTCTATGTTATAATCTGTATTGTATTCTCAGAGAGCTAAAGAATATCATACAATCTCTAATATGATTGTGATTATTATGCAGAAGCTGCTGCCATCATGTTAAAGCAGTCTAGAGGGTTTGGTTGGCAAAAAACTTCACCAACAATTTGGCTTTCTGGGGTTGGAAGCCTTAACTCCGCACAACTACCCTGCTGCTCTCCGTGAGCACTCCCCGTGGGTCCTGGGTAGTAGCTTGAGTAGCCTTGGAGGGCACTGGTAGACTCCTGTACATCATGACCCGCCAATAACCCATGCTCCACATGTGATTGGGTCTCGGCACACTGTGCAGAATCTTTGGCTGACCAAATTTAGCTGTTTGTCTGTTTATATAATGGAGACATAAATAAGTTTAGCTTGAGAAAATAGAACAATAAAAAAGTCATTGAAGGTTGTTGACTTAGAGGAAAGGAAATTCTCTAGAGGGCATGAGACATTCTATAGCGAATCAAAATGGAAGTATATTTTATTTATTTTCCTTTTGTACTGTTCTTCAGACTTTGAGAACCATTCCAATATAGTTTACCTTTGGGGTAAAATGAAACCTTGCTAAGAAAACTGAATGCTAGCCTGAATATTGGAAAAGTATGACCAATAGATAAAAGTAAGACTTACTGTTTTTAAATCTATGTAATAATTAGAACCAAAGTCAAGTAAGTGTCTTTTACAATGACCAAGAACAATTTTCAGTTTCACTGGTTTCATGAAATTAAATATTTCTAGAAGTCTTGAAAATAATTGTTTCATTATTCATTTGCTTATCAAGTTCACTGATTCCACAGTGTGTTAAGCTTTATTCCAGAACCAGTCTAACATCACAAGTTAATAATTGCTGAAGTCTGAATTGGGGCTTTGGGGCTTTACTTTATGTGAAAGGAGAAATAAGATATAGTCCAACTGATTTATGGATTATCAGTGTGGGATTACAGAGACTATTTCACCCCACTCATTTATTCATGACAAAGTACCTCTCCCACATGAGTTAGCTTTCCTTCATTATTTATTTCAGTATCTTTCTACTACCTGATAAAATCTCTTTTAGAATAATAGAATTTTATAGCTCAAAGGGATCTAGTCCAACTTCCTTTCTTTATAGATGAGGAAACTGAGACTCTGGTTAAGTGACTTGCCAGACTGACTTCATTTCCTTTTTGATAGGGTTGCATGATAGGAAGATGCAATAATAACGTATCTTGAGTTCCGGAAAGCATACTGTCAGAGTCTCTCATGATATTCTTGTGGATAACACGAGGAAATGTGATCTGGGAGATAGTATACTCAGATGGGTTTATAGCTGATTGAATACTTCTGCCCAAAGAGTGCTTTGTTGTCAACCTGTGCCTGTTTATTTGAACTAGGAAGTTAATGGAATAGGAGTACATGTAAATTCTGTACTTGAACTTAATGCAATCAGCTGAATAGGTGTAAGACTTTATAGGCTGTAAGTCCTAGTTGAGTTATGAAGAGTGAGGTCTCTGGAATAAGGAATTTAACATTCTTTGCATTTGTGGGGGGGATCACATTTGCAGCATTTTGTTCAGTTCACAACACATTTAAGAAGGATACTGACCAACCCAGCATATTCAGAAGAAGGGAGGATCTTGAGGAGGATGGGGATGAAAGCAAAAGCCATTGCACATGGAGAATGCTTGACGAGCTGGATATACTTTGAAGAAGTAAAAACTAAGTGAACATGTGATCCTATGCTTCAAACATTTGGAAAGTTTTTATCTGGAGGATTCCTGCTTTTGTTTTACTTTGTTAAATAATAGTTTTATTCAGATATCTATACTGTTTTAAAGTTTACTCCCAAATCTTTAAAAACAGATGTCAGAAAACATTTTTCGTGTGAAAGCTTACAATCCAACAAGCAGTTTTCATGAAGCAAGTTAAGTGGTAGGTCCATTATAAAAGTATCTCAATAGTTAGATTTAAAAATAGTGATTAGGGGCACCTGGGTGGCTCAGTCAGTTAAGCATCTGACTTCAGCCCAGGTCATGATCTCGCGGTCTGTGAGTTTGAGCCCTGCGTTGGGCTCTGTGCTGACAGCTCAGAGCCTGGAACCTGTTTCGGATTCTGTGTCTCCTTCTCTCTCTCTGCCCCTCCCCCACTTGTGCTCTGTGTCTCTTTCTCTCAGAAATAAAGAAAAGATTTAAATTTTTTAAAAAAAAATAGTGTTTAAACTGTGCCACATTCACAGTGATACACACAGTATTTCTCTCACTGCAAGACATGCTAACATTTTTACTTCAAATCCCAAGTTATAAAAAGACTTTTCTCACCCCAAAAAGTTATATTGATAGGCAAATACACCATTTTTGAGAATGAAATAAGATGTTTTGTCCTATTCTCATTTATTTTAAGAAATTAAAGTTTCCGAGAAGCGTGGATCTGGGGCTGGATGCAGCAGGAAGAGTACTGCCAGGCCTTGTGCACACAGGGTGTCAGAAATGTTGAACAGTCTAACTTACAAACTGTCTGGCCTTATTAAATTGTATTAAACTTTACTTATCATCCTAGTTGTTTATACTTAACTAATTTTAAAGAGATGATAATATATTTGTATTCATCTCCTATTTCTGCTGTAACTAATTACCATAAATTTAGTGGCTTGAAGTAAAACTGATTTATATGTTACATTTCTGGAGCTCAGAAGTCCAAAACAGGTGTTCCTCGGCTACATGTTGGGGTATACATACTGGGGTACTGGCAGGGCTGCCTTCCTTTGGGAGATTCTCTTCTTTTCACTTTTCCACCTTTAGACCTCATTTGCATTCCTTGGCTTGTGTCCCCTTCCTCTGCTTCAAAGCCAGCAATAGCCCATTGAGTCTTTCTTATGCTTCATCATTATGGGATGGACTCTCCTGCCTCTCTCTTTCACTTGTAAGGAGTCTTGTGATTACATTGGATGTACCCTGATAATCCAAGATAATCTCCCCATCTCAAAATCCTTAATTTATCTGCAAAGTCCTTTTTGCCATGTAAGGTAACTTAGTCACAGGCTTTGAGGACCAGGATGTGGACATATGTAGGGAGCCATTATTATATCTAACAGTCTTTCTATTTAAACTGAACTCTATGCAGTATACCTAATAACAGACATTGTTTGTAGTTTGTTTTAATTCTAGAAGGTAGAACTAGGATTGGTTGGATGACAGAACTTGCACATGGATTTTTCCCCTCCAATTAGAAAGAACTGTCCAACAAGAGAAGACTAGAAGACATTTAAAAAGGAGCAATGTGGTGTGTGTGTGTGTGTGGTTACAAGCTTCTTTCAGGTATTGAGCTACTGGCTACCTAGTCAGCACTGATGTCAAGGAGATGCCTGCATTGGGTGGGAGACTAGATTAAGTGGCCTATGAGATCTTTTTTTTTAACCATTAAGTTTTTCTGGTTCTGTACTAAAGGTCAAAGAATGTGATAGGGTTCTTCAGAGAAATAATACATGTATATGTGCAGTTCTGTGATAACTTTATTTTGAAGGATGTATCACTTTTTGGAAGAAAAGGTGTTTTTAAAATAATATTGTTAATAAATGCAAGAGTTAGCTTCTTATTTACAAAGCTTTAATTTATGTTGAAAATTTCAGGAACATATATCTTTTCCTAGCCACATTACTGCAGTACTAGATTTTCTGTAAATTTGTTAACTTGCCCTTTTGGAAGGGTATTTTATTCCTCACTTAGGATTATATCATATATTTTTTCCTAGAGCATGAAGGGAAAAAGCAAAAGTAGTCATGACTTGCTTAAGGATGATCCCCATCTCAGTTCTGTGCCAGCTGTTGGAAGGTTAGTATGCTGCAAGTGTGATCCCAAATTTCTGTTTTCTGGCTCAGATATTTTCTTGCTCCCTTTGTGAAAAAATGGCCTCTTCTCTTAAATCCAATTTTTTCCACTCAAACCAAAAAAAAAAAAAACATAACAACAAAAACCAAAAGCATTTTGGTGACGGAGACAATAGAGCTTCTAGCACAATGGAGGGAAGCACACTGGCCCCTTACACTCATTTTGCTTTCTATCTCTGTTGAACTACTTAAATTTAAAACAAATGCTAAACTTTTAAATCTTAGGTTAGTTTGAACAGGAAACTGTTTGCTTTTTTTTTTTAAGTTTAATGTTTAATTCAAATTTACTTTGTAGCATTTTGTGCCAGCAGGTATGATGGATAAAGAAATCAGAGCGGAAAGGTTTTGTGAGGTCACTGCACTTTAGACCAATTCATTGAGTATTTTTTTCTTACGTGTTTTAGGAGTTAACAGAAAACTACCTTCTGTTGTTTCTCTTTGAGAAGGAAGATGTCTTACTGTTAAATACAATTGCACATGACAATGTCTCAAAGGGGGATTAAAATACTGTTGCACTGAGTTTAGCTTGTTTTCAAAAACTCTATCTCAAAAAATTCTTTTCTTAATATCCTTGTAGTTAAAGGATTTGGCTTTTTCAGCCAGAATATATCAAGCCAATGGAAGAAATTGTTTTCTGAAGTCCTTAGTTCATAAAAATATCACAGTTGGTTGTTATTGGCTTTTTTTTTCTGTTAATTCTAGTGAATTCGTATATGTCTTAATAGAGCATACTTCTTATTCTGTTTGTAAAAATGACTCCCTTTTAGAATGTTTCTATTTGCTCTATAATGCCATTTTGAACTTCCTATGTTGAAATAGGTTTTGAACTGTTAATCCCAGCAAAATACTCTAAATTTTGATTAGTGAATAATTTTATGTTTCATTTTGAAGCTAAACTTGTTTTCATTTCTTTTGTAGTGAAAAAGGCGATACAGCAGGAGATTCAACTAATGTGAGTATTAGTATAAACATAGTTTGGATAATTAACAGAAAATTTTAAAGATTTGAAAAGTAAATCATTTATTTTGACTGAAGTATTTCCTTCCAAGTGTGCATGGAGATATGTATCTACTTACAAATTGAAATCATACATAAATGAATTTCTAGCCTATTTTTCTCCCTCTCACTACTAGAATACTCAAAATTCAGATGTCACTTTTTATTTCCTTATGTTAAAAGTTTAAATGTTGGGGCACCTGGGTGGCTCAGGCAGGTAAGCTGTCTGACTGCGGCTTAGGTCATGATCTCATGGTTTGTGAGTTAGAGCTCTGCGTCCAGCTCTGTGCTGACAGCTCATAGACTGGCTCCTACTTCACATTCTGTGTTTCCCTCTCTCTGTGCCCCTTCTCTGCTTGCACTCTGTCTCTTGCTCTCTCAAAAATAAATAAACATTAAAAATTTTTTAAAAACTGTTTAAATGTCGATGCGTGGGCATCCTACACAGTGTATGGGAAAATGCTTAGGTAAGTCATTTGTAATAGTATTCCTTAATATACACAATTCAGAAGATTCTCTTTCAAGACTATAGTGATTGCTCTTTATTAATTGTATTGGCTATTAAAGTGATTAAAAAAAAGAAGACCTAAAGGAGATGAAAGAGCAGGCAATGCAGATGTATAGAATATGGGTGTTTCCGCATGGAGAGAACACCAGCTCTAAAGCTGGCTGGTATTGCCGGCCTCGAGCTGTAAGAGAATGTGCCAGTGGGTACAGATTGTACAGGGTCCTGAGTGAGTTGAGGATCCCTTGGAGGATTCTGAGAAGAGGAGTAATTGCTATGACTTCTATTATAGTAAGAAATCTAAGCTTCTCCATCTTCTCTTCATCTACTTGAATTAATCTCTGGTTGAGGCTGGTATGCTGGCCAAGTGCCTGCAGAAGTCATGTTTCCCACTGGGAAAGAACAGGAATGTGGACAGACACAATATCCTGGGTGATATAGAGGGAGCACGGCCTGTGCTGCATGGAGGGGCCATGGGTGAAGTGAGCAAACACTCCTTACTCAGGTATCCCATACTGATGTAGTTGGCCTAGAGCAGACCCCAGGGGTATTCCCGCCTGTAGCAAATGCTTCTAGTCCTTACTAATTTAAAATAAAACAAAAACCAAAACTGGCCTAGAATGCAGTGTGGAGAGTTGGAGATGGATATCTGGTGGTGTAAGGGGACATGGGAAATACTCCATTTCAATTTCTACAGGATGGAGAATATGAAGGTGCAGAGCATGATGAATATATTGATGATGATGAGAAGAACTTGATGAGAGAAAGGATTGCAAAAAAGTTAAAAAAGGACGCAAGTGCAAATGTGAAGTCGGCTGGAGAGGGAGAGGTGAAGAAATCAGTTAGCCGCAGGTGAGTTAGTTATGGTACTTTTTGCTGTAGTTTGTCTTTCTCTACTTCACACTAAATTAGAATTGAGTTCTCTCTTACACTTCTTTTTTTAAAACACTATTTTCATAATGTTTGTTAAATATACCAGTTGTGTGTTAGCCTGTTTGGATGCCTAAAATACAGTTTTAAAGTACTTGTAGCAATGGTCCTTGGAGTCAAATCCCTCTTCATTTTCTCTCTAATCTCTTCTTTAAGAGCCTCTATAAATTTTTATATGTGGGGCAAGCAATATGTAAGCTACATGCGGAAAGCTGTGTTTGTCTAATACCAATGCGAGCAGTAGAGTAATGTATAGAATGAAAAGCCAAGTCTTCAGATTTAGGTGAGGAAAATTTGTCTCAAATGGTTATGAAAGCAAGTGGGCCTGAAAACATTCTTAAATATCTTTTCAGGGGCGCCTGGGTGGCTTAGTCGGTTAAGCATCCGACTTTCGCTTAGGTCATGATCTCGCGGTTCGTGGGTTCGAGCCCCGCGTCGGGCTCTGTGCTGACTGCCAGCTCAGAGCCTGGAGCCTGTTTCAGTCTGTGACTCCCTCTCTCTCTGACCCTCCCCTGCTCACGCTGTCTCTCTCTCTCTCTCCTAGAAATAAATAAAACATAAAAAAAAAAATTAAAAAAAAAAATATCTTTTCAACTCTGATTCACACCATATACCTCCTCCTAATCTCCTATCAGAAAAGAAATTTCAGCAAATGTCTGATGACTTGTTGAATTTTGTGACTCAATACTTTATTCTGAAATTCAACTTAATTGAAAAACTCTCCTTTTTGATTTTATTATTACATCTTTATGGTATACATTTTAAATACTACTGCCTTAAAAAATGTTTTCTTTGGATTTTCTACATTTGGGAATAGATGGGTATAAATACATATAAACAACATTCTTTTTTTTTTTTTTTTTAAGTTTATTTATTTTGAGAGAGAGACAGAGAGAGAGCAAGTAAGGGACAGAGAGAGATGGAGAGACAGAGAATCCCAAGCAGGTACCACACCGTCAGCACAGAGCCCAACGTGGGGCAGGAACTCAAAACCGTGAGATCATGACCTGAGCCAAAACCAAAAGTCACATGCTTAGCTGAGTGAGCCTCCCAGGCACCCCAGCAACATTCTTATTTTTCTGTTATGTTTCTCAACTTCATATAGAAAAAAGTAAAAGACATTTCCCTATTGCCACTGCTTTGCTCCCTCAATTTTTTCCTTCATGTAACCAGAAAAGTAATTGTCAGCAATCTCCACTGATGCTATAAACTCTTATATTCAGATATAGCACTTAAATATAGTAGATTAACATTGGGTCACTACTGACAATATTTTAGTGATCATATATGAGCTAATATATCATATCAGCTCTGTAGCCTTTAGTCAGATTATACATACAATCAAGGATGTTTTTTTCTTTCTCATTTTCATTCAAAACACACATTTTCTGATTTTTAAGAACTACACACTTTGTACAGATTATGTTTATAATGTGACAAAAAATGCATTTTGAATTTTTAACACATGAATCAAATAGTTGTTATGTTTAAGTGTTTAAGTCCTCCATTTTCCTGTCTTACTGGGTTTAATACAATTCCCAATATTTTTATACCCTGTAATTAATATAATTTATAATTTAGCAGAGCTTTTTCTTTAAGAACTAAATAAAGCTTATTTGGCAAAATTTGCCTTAATAAATAGTGAAAACACCGAAACATCTATTTTTAACTATCTGCCTCTTCCCCCCAGATTTTCAGTATTGACATCCTCTTCTCTCCCTCCTTCATCCTACCTCAACCTACCTTCAAAGAGAAATAAAAGAAAAATAAGGAGGTTGGGATAGAGAAGACAGTACAGGATTTCAAAGGGAAATTGCAGTTTTTCGCCCTTACTTAGAAATTTCCACATTTGTCTCATGACCACTTATTTTGAGTGCAAAAAAATTTCCAAAATTATTAGTGTTTTTGGTTAGTTATACCAGCTTCACTATAGTTTAAGTCTCAAGTTAGTTTTGTGTTTAAAAAATACATAAAAAGCTCAATATAGTGGGAATCAAATAATTTTATAAGGAATAAAACATGATATTTAAGTATTTCTGATGTTTTAAAAAGATAATGTGCTGGTAAAGATTTAAATCAGTGTCTTTCAACCTTTTCAGTACATTGAGGTCACATAGGCTGACTATTCAGCCCTCCCCTGACTAAGTCTGTCCAAAATTTTGGTAAGTTTAAAAAAGCACCCAGGTTATTCTACTGAGCACTTAACGTTAATTGTAAGTTTGGGCTTACTTGGCCCTTGTCTTTTGTAAAGTCCTGTTTTAAAGTTGACTGTAAAGAATTATTTTTTTGCCTGTAGGTGGAGCTCAACTGCTGCAAATTAATCTTATAAACTAAATTCATTTGCTTGCTGCCCTATTTTTTTAGCATTCATGTATTGATTCATCATAAAAGACCAAAGAATAAAATCAGATGTAACAAGCAGACCAAATAGTTAGGAATCAGTGGTTTGTTGCTATGATTATAATCATTATAGAAATTCTGTCTTTGTGTAATTTCTATCAAATATAATTGTATTGTGTGATTACTCTTCTAAATTATTTTCATTAAATATGAATATGAATAAAAAAATACTGACACATACCCTCAAATTATAATCATTAAACATTTGATAGAAATGTTTCAAGGTTAACAGACTGGTATTAGTTTTGATGTTTGAATAGGTTCTGGCTTGATCAGCTATGTTCTGTTGACCTATCATGTTTGGTTGACCTTTTTCATAAAACAATTCTCTTACATGGTAAAGTTAAGTTGTATTTGTGCTTTAGTTATGACTTGTGTTAGGCTGACTGAATATGAAATATCATTATTATGATAGCACCAGGAATGTAGATAGGGATATTGAGGTTGAAATTGAGATTGAAGACCTAATGAGTTGGATTGAACTTTAAATTATGAGGGTAGGGATAATATAGTCGTAAATACCTCCTGAGTATACTCCCCAAGGCCTGGCTGAACACCCAAATTAGATGTTGCCAATTTTAGTCTCTCCAGTCTTTCTTTGTTGGGTCTGACATATGTTACTAGGATTTCTTAGCTTCCCAGGGTTTCTAGCTTCTCAAAAACATTTGTGAACTATCTCTCAGCCTTGGGGATCTGAGTCCCAGTTTGATTAGTCACAGGAAGTCCAGATTCACAAAGATACTACAATATTTAAATTTCAAAAATTTAGAAGATAGTAAGCATTTTAAAATTACGTACAAATTTTAAAAGATAATATAATAACAAAGATTGAAATCTGCAGACATTTTCCTTTTTGGGTATTAAAATCATCATCTCTGAGAAGCCCCCCCTCTTCCTCTCAACAGAACATTTATAAGCAAGGATTGCCTTCACCATTTAGAGCATTTCTGCTTCCGTTTACCTTCCTTTGTTCCAAGATGTCTACTGAAGCAGACATTTAAAAAGAGGAAGAGAAAGAAATGTGTGATATATACAGTAGATAAATGGTATCTGATAAAGAAAATTTGCAGATATTATTTCTTTGGTATGGAATATCAGATAACTAAGCTTTGGAGCAGTCCTAATTTCAATGAAGAATGCATGCTAACTTGTACTAGAACTTGATTTTTATTTTGTGTATATTCTTTCCTAAGTAGTCATTCTACTCTCAAACATATGTTACTGTTGTTGCCAGACGCTGCAAGAACTGCTATGTGCCAGACAGTGCTAGACTCCAGGAACATGAAAATAAAGGAGATATGATTTCTATCTGCAACTATTCATAATATAGTGTATGAGTGAGATTATAAACAATTAATTACAATTTAGTGTGTCAAGTGCTCGAATAGACATGCCTGCAAATTATTATGGATGTTTTAGGTAGGCAATATATATTTCTGGAAAAGATAAATATACTAGGTCAAAAGAATTGAATATGGGGCACCAGAGTGGCTCAATCGGTTAAGGGTCCGGCTTCAGCTCAAGTCATGATCTCATGACTTATGCTGACAGCTCAGAACCTGGATTCTGCTTTGGATGCTGTGTCTCCCTCTCTCTCTGCTCCTCCCCCAATCACACATACTCCATCTCTCTCTCTCAAAAATAAACATTAAAAAAAAGAGTTCAATGTTAAATTGCCATCTTTGTAGATCATGAATGGTCAAATATCATCAATTTCATAAGTTACACCCTATTGCTAGGAAGATAAACCATTTTCTGGAGTCACTATTGGAAAGAAATAACATTTTAGCATTAAGTCTAATCCTTGAAATTAGTGTTGTATAATACTTCAATGTAGACTAGATAGTTTATTTTACTGCCTTTATCTGTTACATTTAAAATTTTGGTATAGTAATAATTATAAACTATACCATCATTTGGCATTTCTAAAAAGCTTCCATGTTTCTTCTGTTAGGGTCTCTATAGCAAAGATTTTTGGATATTCTGAACAAAACTGCTTCTTGGGCTGTTTGAAATTTAAAAAACACTTTTAAGATACTCATTTAGTTCACTGAGAACCTTAATCCATATACAAGGAATCACCTTCAAAAAAAAAAAATCCTTGAACTTCAGTTATATACTTAGAAATTTAACAACCCTACTGTTTTTATAATTCGATTTCAAATGGCAGACAGGAAGCAGTGAAATGCCCACGTGGGGGAGATTCTCCTGTCAAAATGGAGAAAAAGTATTTGCATCTCTTTAGAATGTATTGATTTGTATTACGCTTGAGAGTTGCATTCTATTGATCTGGTAGTGTCACTTGTTTTTGGAGAATGGAATTGTACATTTTAAATGCAGAAGAACATGATAAGTATCTTCCACAAGTTTCACCAAAGATACAGAAACACTCCATGTGCACATAGTATTAAATTATAATTTTCTTATTAGTTATCTTAAGGATCCTTTGGTTGTGGGGAATAGAAACTTACTCAAGAACTCATATTTTTCTATAAAGTGATTTTACATGTAAATAAACTAAA